CAACTGAGAGAACTGAGCTGATGATCTCACAAACATGGCCGACCGTCGTCTGCAGCGGCTTCACGTTACGCGACTCGCGGCCTCTCCTATTAATAGTTCCTCCAAGTAATTTTCCATTCCAGTAACACTTAAACAATATTTATTTTCTTTAACAGGTTTCATTCTGTAATCTCTTGAAGCAGTGCTCTACGTGCCCTCCTTTGGACTTGACAAATTTTTAACGTGTCGTTGGAAATGTTCAAAGGCACCCAAACATAAGGACCTGCTAAACTGTGAGTGTTTAACCCTATCCGTACGCCCTGGGGTCATTTTTTACCCCCAGGGTTGTATTCTTCACATTTTAGAATACTTTTAGTACAAAGATCTATTTGAAACTTTCAGTATTTCTCAAAAAATCATTTTTACAGACTGCTAGGCAAAGATTACGGATCGGATTAAATAGTAAATTCCCTCTTTGGAAAGTGGTGGCACAGAGTTTCCCACGTTGTATGGAAACGATAGTAAACCACAATGTACGGATAGGGTTAAAACCACTTACACTGTACATACTAGGTATGAAGTGGTTTCAAGTGACAATAGGGGGCGGGGTTCCCAATACACAGCATTCTTGGAGTTAACATATCCAACAGGGTGAAAATGGGCCTTATAACTAAACTAAAAAATGTTCAATACAAAAAGCCCTCTGCTCTTTACTAAAGTTAACCATGATCTCAGCAGGCAAAGGAAATTTGGGAAAAATAATATATGCAAACTTCTGTTGACTTGTTAAACTGCTGTAGCTCGCAATATGGCGCGATTGTTGCAACTTGTAGTGGTAGGCATAATGCAAACTGGTGCGTCATGCTACGAAAATGGGGGTAAGGTTGAAAATGGGTTGCTTTTTTAATGCGCCATATAGAGCAAAACTATTCAATGGACTTATCTAAAATGAATTTTAGACAAATTGCTTTTGGCTTTCAAATATCGTGTGTGTTTAAATTTGAAACGCCAAACTTCAGTATGGAGGAAGATATTTAAATTACAAAACAAGTTGTAAAGTTGTTTTTTCTTTCATCACCCTGTAGAGCAGTTATAAGAAGTCTTTGCCTAGTTTTCCATATACATAATTCTGAAAAGGAAAGTTATAGAGATTGCCAAGAGCTATACACCCAGTTAAAGATTTCAAGAATTATTATTCTTGTTGCAGATAAGTCGTTACTAATCAAATCTTGTTCTCTAGGCACTTCCATGTCATTATTGCGCCTTCTATCTATATTGCCATCATTACCATTGTAATCATCTCCATTACTCTCATCTCTTTGATGTGGACCAGGCTCATCTTGGGACAACAGCGGCTCACCTATATATTCTTGGCTACAGGCTAAAGGTATAGTTTCTAAAGACGTACTTGGGCGATTTACTGTAAAAGAAGTCTCCATATCAGGGACTCTTGCACTATTATTGCGTCCAACTTGGGGTAAAGGTTGTCTACAAGGCATATTTTCATATCTCGGTGAGATTGAATTTAGCTCAACTATGTTTTCTTGGTTACTGCCTAAAGCTATAACATCTATAGAAGATTCTGAATGACAAATTGGCAGACGGTTCATTACATTTGTAACAGTTTCCTCATCTGGGTCTTCACCCACATTGCCTGCAAAATGCTGTGACTGATTGTCTCTCCCAAAGCTGGATCCAGCTACAGGAGAGGAAGCATCGAAAGGACTGCTGTTTAGAGAAGTAAAGCCCTTACTTTCAAACCTTTCCATTACATTGACTTGACTGCCATTCTCTGATAAATTCCCCTCACTCTGAGGCCCTGGGGAAGCTGATGTTTGAAAGGATACTATATTATTAGCACTAGCATGAGGCTCTTGACGAGGAGCTGGCAGCACAGGTAATGATGTCCCACCCAAGTCAGCCTCCACTTGTTTCATTTCAGTTTCACATTCTGTACTACCAGCTGAGTTTTCCGGAATATTCACAATTGCAGTTTTTATGGGTCTTAATTCATTATGACTATCCATATTGTTATCTGCATCTTCAGAGTCGTGATCTACATCCGTCTCTGCCCCAACATTTTCCACACCCTCATGTAGGTTTTTATCAGTTTTGCAAAAAGCAGTTTTTAAGTCCTCAATTAGTGTGTCAGCTGTCGCCACATTACCTTCCAGCTCTGAACTAGGGAATATACCTTCAACATATTGACTCTCATAAAAAAAGGAGGATGAATCATTTTGACTGTCAAACTGACCAGCTCTGTGCTCTATGCAAGTACCAGCCAATCCTTCATTGCGTATGGGGATATTATCAGAGAACTGCACTTTCTTGGCATTATACTTTTTCTTCTTAGGACCTTGATCCAAATTGAAATTGTCTGTCAACCTTGATGGCCTTTGATAGTCTCTCGATACATTCACTTCAGGCAGGCCAGCATCTGAGCTCGTAGCTCCAAGGTTATTGTCTCCAGGAGAGCAGGAAATATTTGGCCCAATTATTGACCTGTTTGCAGCCTCTTCGCCCTCAGTTTGGTCACCACTGGCAACAGCATCTCCAAGTTGATCCCCGTCATGATTAAATGCCTGCTCAACAGATTCATTGCAAGAGCTGCTACAGGTCTCATCACTGGTATTCAAAGTTACTGTTAGCTGAGCCAGTTTATCCTCTTGGTCCCTGCATGCAGCGTCGCCAAATCCAGTATCAGGATCCTTTTTGTCCTTAGGTTGAGGGCTACCAGTACCAGTATCTGCAGAAATAGACAATTTAAGTGAGATAAGAAAAACACATCCCGCTGGTGACACCCTATGTCTAATGAATAAAAGCCTTTTGCTTTATCTTTGAAATGGGGTTGTAATCACCCAATCATCATGTTAAAACCTAGCATGACCCACTCATGCAGTATATCCATTTAACGCTTCATAAATTCTGCATCATCTGACACATAGATATTTCATCTAAGTTAAGAGACGTCTCAAATATGGTCACTCAGAAGTGACCTTAAAAAATCAGGCTTGGCAAAATTGTGCCAAAATAAAGAACCGTAAAAGTGTGTCTGCACGTGTATTGAGGTGCATCAACATTGGAGGAATGGACATGAATTGAATATCAAATAAAAAGAGAATATTACTGTCTCTGTAATGAATAACATCTTCTTCTGACGTTTTCAAACACATTGGAAAACAGAGTAGTTACAAATACTACGCAGATCCTGAACTTAAGATTAAATGTACTCATTAGTGTAATTTAGTTTTTGTTTAGGATTTATTGGTTTCGTGTAGAGTACGAAATCTTTTTTGAACATGGACTGTATTAGTTAGATTTTAGACATAATCATCAGTGGGAGGCCACGAAACTGCCACGGTTTTGGGTGATCTGGGGTGGAATGAACAAAACTGCCTGTGTGTGAAACACCGCACTGCTTGGTTTAGTGGACTACATCGCATAAGCGCTGGAATGTCATGTCTTACCCTTATTTTCATCACAGTGTCATTCGAGTAGATATCTCCATGCATAGCAAAGCGTTTTCTCACAGGGCCAATGCCACTAGACAATTCTTGGAAAAGCAAATCATATCAATGTTGGAGTGGTCACCAGTAAATAGCCCCGATATAAATACTACTTTGATTTCGCACAATTTCGCCATGCCAGATTTTTTAAAGGTCATTTTTGAGTGACAATATCTCGGGCGTCTCTTAACATTGATGAAGTATTAATGTGTCGGATGATGAAGAATTTATTTAGCTTTAAATTGGTGTGCTGCATGAGCGGGTAGTCCAGGGCTTTAATACGATGATTGGGCGATTACATTTTCAAGTTTCTTTTGGACGCCACTGTACACACACACACACACACACACACACACACACACACACACACACACACACATTATTCACTAAATGGGTTCTCTAAACTGGTATAATAATGGAATATGTTGTGAAACTGCTCATGTATTTAACCCATTTACGGAATAATCTTCAGCAACTTTATTTTTAGAGTAAACATGATATGAGTCTAACAAGTTGATATTTGTTGTATGATGAAATCTATCCTGGATTCTTTTCCTTTAAATTGATGAGATCTCCACACATTTTCAACAGGAAGCAACATGCCCACATTACAATAAGGAAAGAAAAAAAAACTGTCCACAAGCTTTCGTCGATGACAAATTTTAATGAAGTCATGTGACTCAAGAAAAGAACTTGATAAAAGGAAACAAAATGACGAGACATTGCAAGTTAAAAACTCCAAAGGAAACAAGTTCTAAGGCACTTATGCTGATGGGAGGCAAATAGACAGAGAGGAAAGGGGAAGGAGAAGAATGTGGGGAGCAGAGGCAGAAAAGAAAGACATGGGGTAGAAAAGGGGGGGGGGGGGGAGAAAGAGAAACAGAAAGACTTACAAACAGACTAAAACTACAAGTCAAAGACAACAGGGAGACAAGAATGAGTAGCCTGCACATGGACTCTAAATTCTTCTTACACAATTGTGAAATTTTCATAAGGTAAAATATTTAAACCAGTCAACCACGGACCAGATTGCTACACTGACGATTGTAGTGGAACAGTCCCTGGAGTGGAACTCTCAGCTGGTCGTCAACTTCCTTGACTATAAGAAGGCCTCTGACAGTATAGACCGAGCAACACTATGGAAGATACCGAGACATCACAGAATCTCACACAAGTTGGTGAACCTCAACAAGTGCAGGTATGAAGGGACACGTTGCAGGGTTGAACATGATGGTCAGCCCACTGACAGCTTTGACATCAAGAGAGGCGTGAGACAAGGATTTTTACTGCCACTTTTCCTCTTCATCTTGGTAATCAGCTTGCAGATGAAGGAAACCACCAGAGGACATAGAAATGGTATACAGTGGACCCCATGGAGATAGCTGGACGATCTATATATATTGCAGATGACTTGACGCTTCTGTCGCACACCCAGGAACAGATGTAAGCAAAGACTTCAGTTTTATACAGTCTATCAGAAATAAAAGATAGGTGAAATCTGCTGCTCTGCAGTACACGAATATACTATTTACTTAAAGGTATACATACCACGAGATGAGGTTGTACCAGGATGTCTGCCACCACGACCCCTTGAAATCTTCCTGTGCTCTGAGGGGATAAAAGCAAATTTGAGTCGAGTGGCAATAGAATTCATAGAAAAAACAAGTAAAAACTTTCTCTATTACCTTATAAAGGGTGCTCATCACGCACCAATCAGAAAAAAAAACTTGGCTACCTGTAAACAACACACTTGGGGAGAGGCTGTTAAATGGTTGGAGCTGTAAAAATCAAAACTCAATGTAGGAACAGAACATCCAATTACACAATAAAATATTTAATGTTTGTCATTTCTTCAAATTCGAAAACTTTATGTTTGGGTCCCGGTAATCAGATGTTGAGAAGAAAACATGAAAAATCTGTCTGTTTTTTATTTTTGAAAAGACCCCCCCCCCTCAAACAATTATTGATTATTGCTTTTTCAATAGGACTATTGTAATGTACTACGGAATATCACTGACAGGAATAGCAAGACAACTCCCACATAAATCATCAACATTTGCAAAAGTTTGCTTTTACTTTTAATTGATAAGAAGGAAATTATAGCAGCAGTATTTTGCAGATACCTACAAGCTGTTAGAGACCAAAGTCTTCCCTGTCACAGGTTTGACAAGAGTTTTTTGCCCCAAGGCATTGTGCCATGAGCATTTTCATTCACAGTCAGCTCATGAAGACAAAATACTTGCATCTTAAGTTGAAGCATCAGATTCAATCTTAGGTTCATGGTCCCTTAAGGCTAAGGTGCTTTCTGTGAATTTTTTATTTATAGCCACAATACCAGCAGCAGAGCTGAGATCTTGCAATTACAAATCTTTCACGTTCCCAATGACACAAATGAGACAATTTGTGACCACTGTTGCTTTCACTCCATCCATCAGGGCTAAGTGAACTGAGTGGGATACCCCCCCCCCCCCAAATAGAAAGATAGAGATCTTTAACCCTCCACGAGGAGTGCTAACAAATAGCCTGTGGTGTTAAAAGAAATTGCATGACTTTGTCATATTATTATGTTGAAAAACGCTTGAGAACAGGCAAACCAAGCAAGTAAAGGCGATATACTTATACATTTTCAGATAGAAGAAAGTAAATAGGACCTAGAACTCAATTTTGTGAACGAGTTAAAATGCTTGGTGATTAAAAAACTAGAAAAAGGAACCAAAATAGTGACTCAAATTATGGATTATTACATCGCTGATTCAAACGGCTGTTGATAGCACAGGAATCAACTCATATCTTAGAGTGTAAAGCACAGAGTGTACCCTTTACATGACTTTTGCCAATAAAATGAGAATTAGTACATAGCGCTCTCAATAAAAGGCAAAATGGAGGTCCCGAACTCCTGCCTTGAAAATTGAAGCAGATTTATCTGCTCGGGCCGGTTGCCATCTTGACAGTCTGCCTTAATGTCACCCTATCCAACACTTTAGAAACTCTAGTTAAACCAAATAAGCAAGAGTACCATTAAATTAAACATGGCACACAGTGACCGGAAGGGTAAATCAGCTGTACATACAAAATAATCAGTTGGACTGAGGTTTCAAGAACCGTCAGGGTAAGTACCCTTGAGATAAGCAGCAGGATGCAAAAGAAGAAATCTCCTTGTACATTGCTGCCTTTCCAGGTAGGCCCTACTCATAACTGAAATTATTGTTTCTATTTACAGATGTTAAATTCTCTTGTTTTCCTGCCATCTGTTTGTTGGGATCATTGAGTTTGCTGAATATAAATGAACACACAGGTATTGAAAACTTTATCATTACTTACCTTGTTCTATTATCTTTTTAAATTCCCCACAGCAACTGTTTTTGTCAAAGAATTTGATCAACTTGAGCCAAAAATAATCAACTGTTGTTATGGCATCCAGTAACATAATATTAGCATCAAAAGCTGATTCATGCTTCAGAGTCTTCATTATCTGTTCCTGAAATTGGAAAAATGAGGCATTATAATAATTGCTCAGATTCTTTATTCCACACAAAAGTATGAAGTTGCAAGCTTCGCAAAACACCAGCAAAAGAAATCGTATGCTTTATTTTAAGGCCTGAATATAGCTCTAAATTTTGGTTGAAAAAAAATGGAGCGCCAGCGCTCAATCCCATCAAAACACTGTTTCTCCCACAGGATCATTTCCTCAGAGATAGATTGGCTGTGAGAATAAATCACTGACATTAAGCTGTTCAATGTACGATAATTGTTGGGTTTTTCATTTCTAGAGACCAAAACGTGTCATAACTGGTATTTCTTGTTTTGTATTATTAGTAAGCCTTTTACCACATTTGCATCACGATTCGGTCACATAAGTGCGTAAATTAAGGATGTAACTAAGAGAGTAACCAAAAAAAAAAAAGAAAAAAAAGAAGGAGTAGAGATTAGGACAATAGATGTTTGATGGGAAAGAAGGAGAAACTATTTTATCCAACTGTGAAAGGGATTGATTCATTGTAATACAGACATTTACACATACACTATACACACACACAGATTGTGAGCAAGTGTGCAATCAGGTAGAGAGGAGACTGAAGAAATTAGTTTCTCTTTGAGAGCTTATAAAAAGAAAAAGTGTACTCTAACGTATACAACAATGAAGGTAAAGCGTCATATTTGAGACTCCATGAAAAGCTAAACAGAAAACACTTCAAATCAGTCCTTATTATAAAATACACAATGTTCTAATTTGACAGGAGAAAAGTGAATTACTGTGCACAACTGTTTGAAACAGTTAAGTTTTCAATCTAGATTCGCAGATTAAACCAGCTTCAAAACACTAGATCTATAGCTTGATTAAAAATTATTTTCGTCTGACTGTAATTACAACGAAAAATGATGAAAAGATTCTGTTTAATCATCTCAGATCTTTGCATACGGCATACGGGTCTAAAAGGTGAACTACCAACAGAATCTAAAAGCCTACTCAAAAAGGTAACTGCAAACTAAGTTCTGACACGTTTTCTTCGATGTTGGTCTAAATTAAGAGGGTAAAATAAAATTCAAGGAGATTTACAGCAAGACTTAAAACATAAAAAAGTTGATACATTTTCCTGAAACACAACACTCTAATCTTATCCCTACACCCTGGGGTCATTTAGTACCCCCACGGCTGTATTCTTCACATTTTAGAATACATGCACTTTAAGTACGAAGACCTCTTTGAAACTTTCAGTATTTCTCAAAAAATCATTTTGACAGGCTGCTATACAAAGTGTATGGATTGGATTAACGAGTAAACTTCCTCTTTGAAAGTGGAGGCACATAGTTCCTCACGTTGCATGGATACGATAGTAAAACACGACGTACGGATAGGGTAGAACGTAAGCCTAAGAAACGTGGTCCAAGACAAGAGACAGGGTTGAATACTTTTCAAGACTCACGTGGAGATGTCTTGACAGTCATGGGGTGAAATCAACAAGCTTACACTGATATGAGGGGGAAAAGTGGTGCCTCTGTTTCAAAATGAGCAATTTGTAGGCTAGGTTACTGTAAGTAATTTATTCAAGTGATTTTGTGTATGCACCCAAAGAGAGGTTTTAATATAGGGCCCAAATAGAGAATAGTTTAACGTGGACAGAGAAACATGAACAAATAGCAATAACAGCAGACCACAGGTGTCAAACTCAATTTAAGGCCCCCGGGCTACATCCAGCCGGCTGAACACTTTTATCCAGCACATGAGAGAAGTCTAGGTAGTCCATCCTGAGAATCTACAATAATGAACTTGCTGCCATGAAAAGGTGCTAAACATCTAGCTCTGAAAAATTGGCAAAATGGGTAGAAATTGGTATGCCTTGATTTGTTACTATTTTAACCTTTGTATGCTTTAATTCATCATTGTTGAACCATTTACCCCAAAAGGGAGCTGTCCTGACACAGGCCCCAAATTCTTTTTTAAAAAAAGGAAATACACCTCAAGAAATACCATACATGATATTCTATTAAAAATTAATTTTAAAAAATAGCTTAAAAAAAATTATTAGGAAAAAATGCAACTCTGTTAGGAAAAGAATACTGGACCTTATGAGCCAGTTTCCACTATGGTACAGTATGGGCAAGTTATTCATTTCCCCAGGGACGGCTCGCGGTTTGTAAAACTGGCCGGCTGTCAATCACATCGATCCCCTCTTCCTACTCCTCCCCTTTATCCCCACAACCTTCCCCACCCCCCACCCCCAACAAAACACAAAAACAAACAAACACGCACACACCCTCCGCTGTATACCTACATCTTCACTATCCCTCACTATACACACAAACACACACTCACTCACACAAAGACACACACATGCATACAGAGCCCTAAACATCTACATATCTACATAATGTGAAAGAGTTTGCAATCAAGGTAGTCTAAAGAAATAATAGATACCATATCGATGACATGACACTGTCCCGTGCAGATCAAGTCTAGAATGAGATACAGCAGTGTACTTAAAAAATGTACGCACTGAACATAGCACACTTCTCAGAAGACTGCATTATATTAGTGCGGTAAAAAAAGCATGGCGCAACTTATGGTCATATATCTCCTTTAACTATCGAACATAGATTCTCCAACTTTTGCACAATGACTCATATCACTTTGTCTTAATAAGTGAATATTTTTTCAAACTCCCGCACACTGCATTCTAGAAAATTCCTTCATAAATTCAAATAAAAAATCCTAGTCGATGGTTTCTACGATTTTTAAAAGTTTACAGTTAGGGCAACATCGCTTTTAAAAGCAAGTCTCGTATTTTTTTCTAATAATCGCAACATTATGCTTATTGAACGTATGTTAAGGGAACCTTTAGTGCTATAAATGTGTTCACTATAAAGTTAATTTCTTGTAAGAAGTGTCGCCACTAAAAAGTGTCATAGGTGAGCTGAGGCGTATGCAAAATGTGTGCCAGTAGCGGGAAGTGCTGTGTGAACAATCATATTATTTTTCGTGCGGCGGAGATTTATAATATTTTATATAAATTTATGAAGAAAAGTTTTTTAATCGAGCCTTAGTTGTTGTGGAAAAACGTGATTAAGTTACAAATTGATACAAACTGATGTGCTGGGTACGGGTGACATTGATTCGTCCATTAAAGAGATATTTGAGGATAAGTTGCGCCACGAATTTTTGACCGCACTATAGGTGTGGGGAACTGTATCAAATGCTAATTATAGAAACCAGTGTCTGGCCCAATGATAATGCAATGGGGCAAAAAGTGGTGCGGGCACGAAACCCCGGGGGGAGGGACAGCGCGTCAACCGACGGTCGACGGCTGACCTGCTAAGGCTGCATCCTTAGCAGGGCGCACCTGGTGCGGGTAGGGCGGCTAGTTCGTTGTTCCATTGTTAGAGGCCATTAAAAAGCTTTCAATATGTTGGTTTGAAGGTGAAGGCTTGTGTGCGACCAAGGCCCAAACAACCAGACAGTTTTAAGAAAAACTAAACAAAGTCTTACCCCTTGAAAAGCCTCTTTTTTTCATCACGAGGGTGATAAAATCATACAGTTCTCTTTGAACCTCCACACTTAATTAAAAATTAGAAACAATCTGATCTACAACAATTTCTGTGGGCCTACTCATCATAATGATACTGCGAGCTGGGCAGTTTATTAAAAATTTCTATGAAAAAGACAGTGCCTCAGGTTCATTCAGGGTGGCACCCAAGTTAACAAATTTTGGACGACAAAGGGTTTATTTTGCTGTGCACATGCTTAGTCGCAGTATTGAAAGCAATTGGGACACCATATATTCTCTGAATTAATCCTTTGTCTGACATTGCTATATCTGATTTCTGTAATGAATTTGATGATCTTTTCAACCTTTTAAATTGGTCACTCGTTTCATTTTCTGACAAATATCGTAACCAATACAACTACATCAAAGCAGCATGAATTTTTGCAGCAGACACTTCGAATCTGTGGTTGAAAGATAATTTATGAAGTTTGGCCCAGAACACAAAAAGAAAGTTGCAAAAGCATTACTGTGAGTCCGTGAGTGGATTCACAACATCACTGCTTAGCAAGGTTTTGTGGCAGACATTGTGAGCTGCAATGGAGGATTACTTACAAGATGCACTTGAAAATCTGTTCTCAGTCACCAAAGGAAAAGGTGGACATATCTTGACAATCCAGAACCCCCCGCCCCTCCAAACAATTCTATTTTCGTTTGAAGAGACAGATAATAGTCGACAAAATTATGATCGCATCGCCTTCAAGCAATTGCAGGGATGATGTGGATAGCTTTTTGATAAATCTAACGAGTGAGAATTTCAGTCAAACAAATATACAGGTAGTTGCAATTCTGGTCGACCTTGATAAAGAACACAGACACGTTGTTAATTTGGTTAAATTTTGCAATACATTAAAGATGCAATGCACATAAAAATGCAATTTCCTACGTAAGTGGATACACTTTGTAGAAACTTTATGATGTAGCCTGCAAGGACTGTACTGGGATATTAGAAAATTCTTCATCTTCCCAAGCAACCTAACCCTCATCAGCCAGAAACAGTTTGAACATTGTAGTCATGGTGGCTTGAAAAAGCCCAGTTTTAAACTTGAGGAATTTGTTGGTTTATTTTAAGCCGTTTTAAAAAAAACAACATATTTTAAACCTTTCATGAAAAGAGCACACAGTAGACAGAATCAAAAGTTGAAAATGCTACTGGAGCCAAACGTAATTGAAAACAAAGGTAATTCCTGCAAATGCCAGACAGTGGACTATGAGTCAGTGTATTTATTAAAGTCAGATTGCACGATGATCTTTACAGTGCAGTCAAAAATTCGTGACACAACTTGTCCTCAAACATCTCTTTAACGGGTGAATCAATGTAACCTAAAGTTTGCACAGCACTTTGTATCAATTTATCTTAACTTATTCATATTTTTCCACAACAATTGAGGCTAGATTTAAAAACGTATCTTCATGAATTTAGATAAAATACTAAAATGGGGCCAACTAGTCATCGCACAGCGCTTGTTGTAGTAACACTGCGTGTGTTGTCTGAGCTCATTACTACGCAGAGCAACGCGCACTCGTCACTACCTCGATTCTCCGACAATGAACAAAGGCCGAAGAAGTATTGCACCGTCTCCGTATTTGCGGTCTCTGGTGTGGCTGGGTGAGGGAAAAAGGGAGGGTTTTGTGTTGACAGCCCAGACTGAGACTCCGTCAGTTGAGTGCCTTCTCTGTAAAATGTCTTCTATATAACGTGACTGGCCAATCATAAAAGCGCCGGTCTGCCAGAAGGTTTCAGTGGGAAGTAAGTGACGAGAACCAGAACCATGGAAGACAAAAAATACAAATTAGAGCCATGCTGACAATAAAATAAATGTACTGACAGTAACTAGAGACAGCTTTGCTGATAACGTAACGGATGAAATACAATGTATTAAATGTACTGTTCAAGACAGTCTTATCCTTCAATAAAGTAAGTAACTGAGAAGCCAAATTGGCAACTAGAGGCTCTCTCTAAACGTCATGAGGACAGTTTGTGAAATCGCCGACTAGGCCTAGGGACCCAACACAGTGTTTGCATGAAGTAATTCGTCGTGACAGGAAGCGGTGACGACAAAGTAGCGCCCCCGTTAATGAGACGAAGGGAAGAGAATATTATGTCGTGCAGCAACTTATCAGAGAACCCCTATCATCTTTTTAGGGCACCTTCTTATTGGCAAAGAGCTTTTTGAATGTTGACAAAAAATATTAATTAAGGTTTACTTGAATCAGAATGAACATTATTTGCAGCAACAAATCTCTTGTCCACTGTCCAGCCAGTCTTGCCCAGTAAAGGAACCTCCCCAGCATTTCCCCAATTATAGTTGTGACTATCGGGTTTCCATATGTTACCCATCTATTTCATTAAATCAAAAAGAAATAAATCCTCCGATGACTTAACTATACAATATTATGATAGGTCACAAAAGGAACTTTCAATTCCTCTTTGTTTGCTCAAGATGGCTTCATGGGCTGAGTAATTGTGAGCTTTAAAAAGTTTCTTGGATTTATACAAGTTTTAACTCCATTCCACCTTCCATTTTGCAATCTATCTATTTACTTCAAAAATTCACACACACACACACACACACACACACACAGACACACACTATCACTGAGTCAATTTATAGCCTCGTTTTCAGTCATACCCGGTACTTAATAAGACTTAAATTTGCCTTGACCTGATAGAAATACACACCATGGCAGTGCTGAGCATGCACTTAGAAACCCCCAGCGACTACTATGGCAACCGATCATGGTAAGCTCCGGCGACAATTGAGGGTAAATGGTTCAAAAAGGTTTCCTTTATCGCTGTTCCATGAGTGTTTATCCAGTTTGACTGTTTGGCCCGCAACTTAAAGTAAAATTTGAGCTTGGCCCCCTGTGCAATTGAGCAGGACACTCCTGTTGTAGACATTTAATTATCCTGATGCTGACCAAATTTATTTAAAATTTTAAGAAATAAAATAAAACTTACACGAGTACTAGGAGGCAAAGGAAACGATTGCGCCAGTTCGGTGGTGGGTAAACTCCTCAAAAAGTCCATTCGATGTTTCTCAATGACAGCTTTCATTCTCCGATGCTCCTCAAAATAGCCCATCTCCTCGTTCATGGGCTTTAATCTGTATTTCAGAATAATCAATTCAATACAAAAATAATTAAACAACTGACAAATGGGATACATACACAACAAAGAGTTATAAAGCAGTATGTTTTTTATTCAAAATAAAACTAAAAATAAAAAAACTTCATTGTTCGTGGATATAAGGCAAAAAAGGCTATATAAAATACAGGATAGTGAGAAGAGAGACAAAAAGAAAGATCATAACTGTTAAAGAAAAAGCAGGGAAAATATATGGCGAGAAACTGAGACAATTGGACGGAAAACCCTGGAGAGTTTTATAAAAGTGTGAACAGCATGAGGGTAAGGATATGCATCATAAACAACAAAGAGGATAGTGCCATTCTCAGCAAGGATGCTATTAAGAAAAGATGGGAAAATTACTTCCAAGAACTTCTCAACCTAGACGTTTGCCATACCATGTACAAGAAGAAGAATTCCAATCAACAAATGCAGAGCAAAGAATTCCAACGAGCAAAAGCAGAGCAAACAGAACCGCCCATACTGTCCAGAGAAATTGAAAATGCATTCAAAACAAGTCCCAAGAACAAAGCCTCAGGAACAGATGACATCACAGTGGAAGCAAAAGAGCTTGTGAAAACACAGTTGTACTGTGGCTTAGGCAACTTTTTAATAGAGCCTGCATGGGAGCAAAGGAAATGCCCAGAAGACAGGCATGATGTTCCCATTATGGAAAAAGAAAGGCAACAAATATAACTGCACAACATACAGAGGCATCTCTTTGTTAAGCCATGCAGGGAAAACATAAGCGAAGATAATAATAGAACAAAAGAACTATTTAGGAGCCTATCGTAGCTCAGTTTGGATTCCAAAAGACAAGGAAGAGGAAGCACAGATGCTGACATTATGACATTTATGCTAGAAAACCATTGATTAAAGGGCCAAAAAATGTAAATGTTCTGTTTCCATAGACTCTCAAGCTAAGGAAATAACTAAGCTTTGGGGGCCATTTTCTCCATAAATTTAGCTCTGAGACCAGGCGACCCCCACCTTTTTCAATCGCAAATATATTGACTTATATTCAAGATATATATATATATATATACATATGGATATTTTTTTCATCATAAGCAAGACAAATGAAAAAGCTTTAAGACGATACCAATAATTCGGCATGCCCAAAAATTGTCGAGCGCCAGTTTTTAGGCATGTAGAGTTATATTGGTATAACCATAAAGCTTGTTTATTTGTCTTCCTTTCGGTGAAAAGAATACCCATATATCTTGAATATAAATCCAGATATTTGCGATTGAAAGAGATGGGGTTGGCCTGTTTTCTGGGGTAAAATTTGTGAGAAAATGGCCGCCAAAGTTTGGTACCTTCTATAGCTTGAGAGTCCTTGAAAATTGAAAATTTACATTTTGTGCCATTAATCAAGTTTTTTCAGTAAAATTCAAATGGAAATGTAGTTTTATATGGATATATAATGTGTTGAGCAAATTAAAAAAAATTCAACAAAAATTGCCAAACTGGAGGAAAAATGCCTGTTTCTTCGATTTCCTTATTTTGATGAGCGCCTGATTTTACCACGCTGCCTCACATATGTATACAATATACAGTCGAACCTGCCCTGACGGCCACCTCTATAAGACGGTCACCTGTACAGACGGCCACTTTCCATTTCCCCCCTTGCGTTTTTTCTATATAATTTAACTGTGTAAAACGGGCACCTGTCCAACGCGGCCGCGGCCACCATATTTTAACACACAACCCCTATCACGCAAAGCAATAACACCTGTCTTAAACGGCCACCTTAGTGACTCCATTACGTTTTGTCATAAATTGTGCATTGGCCCCTGGCGTTGTGGCGAGCCGTCATAATTCAGTCACCTGTCGATGTTACTTTTTTGGTAGTCCCTCCAACCGATCATGTTGTGTAGGCCCCTCCCACTGTTGACCAATAGGTACCAATTTTCAGCTGCTGGTGAGGTAAGCGTGTGATCCCTCATAAACCATAGCCCCTCCCATAACTCATACACAAATCGTAAGTGAGATGAGTGGTCACTGTTTACCCAGTCTGTAACAAAGTAACAAAGGACGTCAACATGAACTTGTGACAGAAGCATCGCTCGTTTTCCGAGTGGTGGCGACCCATGTGTTTGTTTTAACATGGCACTCGGTCTTATTGTCTCATACCTTTACGCTTTATTGTCACCCTTGAGCAAAATCAGCAACAAAATAAAATTAACAAACGAAATACAAACCAATTACAACAACAAACACAACAACAACAAAAACATAAACAATGCGGCTACTTTCGATTGGGACCTCAGATGGGAATAGTTTGTTTTCTTTATCTTGATCAGTCCTGCCTAAGACGGCCACTTTTCTCCTTGATAATGGGTGGCCGTCTTACACAGGTTTGACTGTATGTAGTATAACACAGATAAGTCGAACACAGAAGACTTGAAATCATGCCTCCGTCGAACTGTGCCTCGTTTTTTTCTTCTTCATCTTTGTAAACCACTGAGTGTATATGACCTGTACCTAAGGCACCGGCCAGGGCGTAGACTTCCCAGACGAAGGACAACAGCCACGTGTTCGAGATCAAGGTGAGCCCCAGAGTTGGAGGAAGTCGGCTGTGGTCCAGTCTCGAGAGGGATAACGCCATCGCCAGGCTTCACAATCCCAAGACTCACTGTAAGATGGCAGACCTAATAAAGGAACCATACCGAATCGGGAAGAGGTGGACCGACAACATTGCCGAGTGGAAAGGAAAATCCTTTGCCCAAACTCAGGCGCTCGCAAAAAAAAACAACCTTGAAAAGTGGAGGCACCTGAAGAGGCTCTCTATCATACAGCGCTCCTACGATCCTCGGGGATTATGGGATCAAAGTCTATCTTTGTTAGATATCCCTGGAACTATCGAGGCGGGTCCCAACGAATTCGAGCTATCTATGTTATACTGTATATTATATACACCGGGGGCCCTCTTCTGGTACAAAATCTGAAAGTGACATCACTAAATTGGTCATCAAATTCAAATCAAAACAAGTGAACCTATTTTGATAGATCTTCATCTTACGAATGAACTCCCAGTAAAAGAGACCTGTTTTTGTCAATCATTGACAAGAATATATTTGATGTCGAAATCGTAATTAAGGAAAATGCCTGAGCCGTTGCCAGCGGCTCATGATCACCAGCACTTAGTCCTGACCATAGGCTGCTGGGAGCAGCTCGCTGGAGATAAGGAGTAAATTAAGAAATGCATTTATTTGTCCAACACTTTATAAATAACACTAATTAGGTGACATTAACTTCATAAACTCAACAAAAGTAATATACTAATTTTGAAGTGATTCTTAAAGTGCTTTTCAAAAGACATTTATAGGGCATATTAAGCCCTTCGTGTCACAGGATCAGTTCATGCTTCACTGGGCACAGTTTTGGATCCCCAGAGCAGGGCTTGATTGAATGGTCATGGGTTACTACAGCAATGTCTAAAAGGAAAAGATTTTTTCCTACGGAAAAATTTTTCCTGAAAGTGAATTTGTGATTAGTTTTACAGTAATAGAAACGGTATGCAGAATCCTACGACGAACGGTATTCGTCATCATGGTGATCGCGCTTCGCAAGGTATGACGAACACTGTACATCGCAGCAGTATTTTGGCTCGTTCGTCATGAAAGAAAATATGACGAAAGGCCTACGTATGTCACACAGGCACAGGTCAAGCGATGCGGTTTAGCTCATATAATATTAAAAATTTATTTTGGATAGTTATATCACACAATCAATTCTTAAATATTCAAAATATTTATTATAAAGGTTGAATTTGTATAAATAAATATGTTGAATTTGTCTAGAAAAATAGAACTAACTCAGTCTGCAAAAATGACATCTAGATATAATGTTTGCTGATTATTCAACTGTCGGCCATTTTTCGAGTAACAATGTCAGTGGGGGAGTAATTTTAATGTACATGGTGAGAAAATAATAATAATAAATAATAATAAATAGCATTTGTATGGCGCATATCCCCACTCAACAGCAGGCTCTAAGCGCTTTACACTATATTATTACCCCAGCAGACCATAGAACACTCCGAAACATTCTCAGCTTCCCGGGAAGCATACAGTGCAAGCAGCTGATTAAGCGCTCAAACACTAATTTACAAATTAAGATCTTTCGCTGTCTATAGCCGGGTACCCATTCCCACCTGTGTGAAGTGAGGAAAATTCAGGTAAAGTGCCTTTCCCAAGGACACAACGTCGGGCCCCTAAACGGGATTCGAACCCACGACCTTTCGGTTGCGAGTCCAAAAGAGCTTAACCAATAGGCCACCAAAGTCAACATTTTATTACAAAGTAACTTGACATTTTTATAAATGAAAAAAAAAATGTACTCACTTGGCTTTGACTTGGTTTCCGGTTTGTTGCCACCAAAACGCTTCTATTCTTGGTCTAGAATCTTGTTCAACTGAGAAAAAGTTCCAGCACAGCTTTCCTATTTATAATGCAAAACCAGAGAGAAAAGTCAGCATACTTTAATTGATGTCAAAATATAATTTTATTAGTAAGAAATAAGAACAAGGCTGTAAATAAGTGATCTTTGATTAGCCGAAAAGTATGAGGGTATGAGGGGTTTTATTTTTAATGTCCTTCCAATGGCTTGGAGTTGGTGGAGGGAGTTTGTTACGCCGGGGATTAGATCTAGATCTATATCTAGATCTAGATTCTATATATCTAGATCTAGATTCTCTATAATAAAAATAAAACAGAACTAATCTAGAGTCTGGATGTATTTGAGTTTTTTCAGAATTTCTCCCCAAACAATATAAAGAGATCCCATGAATAAAATGACGGGAGCAATTTGTTTTGTAGCAACCTAACATTTGGGAGTTACAAAGTTAGAATGAGTAGCCAAGGTTTTCAGTTCTCCATTCTCCAAATCAAAACCGAAACCTCCATTCTGACCGTAGCTCTCACAGGAAAGAAATGTCCAGGGCCAAGGGATTTCCCACCGGAAGTGACCCCAAAGATTATCTACTTCCAAAGATTCTCTACTACTACTACGCTGTCTTTGCTACTTATACAAAGATATTGCAAGGGCTAGATCTATAATATTTCGAAATCCATAATGCAATCATTATTTGGACTTATATCTCATGCCGTGGAGGGCCCGCTTGGCCGCTTAGCCCATGGTGGACGTCACTTGGGGAAGCGATGTAGGCTTAATTGTCGACTGGGTCCCCGCGCGCGCTGTGTGTGTGTGTGTGTGTGTGTGTGTGTGTGTGTGTGTGTGTGTGTGTGTGTAACTTTGTGTGGGGAGGAGAAGAGAGGCGTAGAATGGTACAAGCGAAATCTAGGGAACGAGAATTGCTGAGATTGCTTATTAAACAAATTGACAACCAACCCCCCCTCCCCACCAAACCAACTAAGCTAGCAAAAAAACAAACAAAAAAACATGCAAAAAGAATGAAACTTAAAAAAAGGGAAAAGAGTTAGGGGAGGGGGGTTGCAGTGAATGAGAAAGAAGAAAAGAAATCGGAAAATAAACCACGAAAAACGAAGAAAGTTCACCAATTAAAATCAATGTAGTTTAAGCTGTCCCGTCATACGATGGTATATATATAGTGTCGTACGTGTATATAGGTTTAGGTTCCACTCGTGAGATGAAGGAAAACGAAGCACGTTACATAATTTAATTGGGACTGGATGGAAAAATTGGATATGGTAAATGGGAAACAAGGGGTGAGAGATTGGACACTGGAGATGGAACAGAAGGTGGGATTCGGAAGGTGGGACTGGTCATATATATATATATATATATATATATATATATGTGAGTACAATACTGACTGTATTGCACAGGGTTAGCCTGAAAACCAACGGGCAGAGAAAATGACAGGAAACAATAATTCATATTATAATAACAAACATTTCTCTCTCTCTCTCTCTCTCTCTCCTCTCTCTCTCTCTCTCTCTCTCTCTCTCTCTCTCTCTCTCTCTCTCTCTCTCTCTTCTCCCTCTTCTCTCCCGTCTTGCTCTCTCGAACTACCCCCTCTTTAAATTGTCGCTCCCCCTCTTTCCCTCTCTCCCCTCCTCCCCCTCTCTCTCTCTCTCTCGCTCTCTCTCTCTCTCTCTCTCTCTCTCTCTCTCTCTCTCTCTCTCTCTCTCAAACACTGCCCACAGACAAAAGTGCACGCGTTCAACTCAAGAGTGCAAAAACATTTGTTTACGCTAGTATCACAGGCCGTCACGCGCTAAAACATAGTCGCGCCCAAGTCTCGAGTGGGCGGACGCGAGATAGGGCAATTGAATGAAATATCTTGGTAGCAGAGAATCCTTGGTGACCACGGCCCAAGAGGTACACAACCCACACAAGTACGTCGTGAAGGCCCTACTTTGGTTAAAAAAAACCTAAAATAACAACAAAAAAAACCCAACAAACAAACAACAAACAACAAGTACAAAGAATAACAAAAAAAAATCTAATTCTAAATAAGAATAAGAATGTATCATTAGTAACATTAGAATGGCTTAAAACCATCGATTCACAGTAGATCTATATTTCTCAATGCAATGTTTAAAATTTTATTTACGAAATAGAAAGTCAATCGTCAATTTAGTGGTATAAAATGGAGTTATAAAGCCTATTCATTTGCGACAATGTATAATAAAGAATTTATCAATATTTAAATTTGTTCCGAGCCTTCCACTTCCAGGGAGTATTGAGTGTTTTAAATAAACCGGTGAGGGGAAAAAGAAAAACTGCTCACGGAAACAAACACGAAACTAACTTCCGTGAAGAAGAAAAATGTGAAACTGGCAACTGGAAAAGTGTGCGACGTGCCCACGTGAAACGAAGACTGAAGATCTTCAGGCTTCAGGACTTCAGGATATCTTCAGTATCTTTGCAAGACAGTATTTTTTTCTGTGTTAAAAGACTCCGGTAAGTACTAGAAGTAGATCTAGATCTAGATCTAGATTCTAGGCCTACTATAGATTAGTTTCTAGATCTAGATCTAGAGATCTAGATCTCTATGTTAACCTCTCAAATGCCTTACTTTTACTTACTTTTGAGAGTCAAGTGTACCGTACTGTAGTCTGTAAAGGCCCCTTTAAAAGACACGTACAGTTCGCTGATCGACAAACTGACAGTTTAACCGACGGACGCTCGATCTGTGTCATTGGTAAACTGAAAGTTTGTCGACGAGAGAAGTTCCGTTTAGACTTACAGTTTTTTAGAAAGTGGCTATTCTCACCCGCCCGGAAGTTCTCGCAAGATCAACTCCTCCCCTCTTCTCTCTCTCTCTGTCTCTTTCTGAATACTGTCTATCGGTGTGGACGATCAAATTGACCAAAACAAAGTTAAAAAATGATGTTAAAACACAAAAGTAAATTAATTTGGTTGTCTACAAAGATGCTACGGCTATTTAACTTTTCGAATCGAGCCGAACTACGCGGGTCGCCATTTTGTTTTGCCCGGAAATTCTCACGCTACTCCTCTCTCTCTTTCTCTTTCTCTCTCTCTCCACTGCCCGCAGACAAAATTGTACGCTTTTAGTAGGCTACAGTTGTAATGGAACGTTTGTTCATGGCACAGAATTCTACAATTTTTCTGTTATAGTGTAGAATTCTGTGGTTTGGGGTGAACGCGCACCGGGTGAGAATAGCCACAAGACTCGCCTGCACTATTCTCACTCCGGGTGAGAATAGAGGTGGCCGTTTTTTATCCGTCCTTGGACTGTTGTAGCTAGATCTAGATCTAGATCTAGATCTAATCTAGGTCAAAAACGTCAACAATCTGAAGCAAGCTACATGGGTACTTATGGCAGCATTTTTTGTTCTCAAATCCAAAAACAAATCTAGAAACAGGACCATCTGGGCTAAAGAATGGCTATATTAAAAAAGTACCTCTACACACACAAATATTCTATTTCCACAATACTGGCAGCGTTCGATAATGTTCGTTCGATGAACTGTAGAAAACTTTTTCAGTAGCCCCCCCCCCCCCCTTCCAATTCGAAGTGACTATTCGGACTTGAGTCCGAATATGAAAAAATGTTATTCGGACTCTGATTCTTGTCCAGCATGACATCACTTCCGACTTCCTGTGACTCGTGAATCCGGCTTCCTGTCCTGCCTCACTCGTGACTGCCTCAGGCTGGGTAGAGACCGGGATCACTTCGGGCAAAAAGGCGTTTTGTGCAGGAGCCGAGTTTTAATCTTATGATGAATTTGAGGCCGGCCTGAAAAGTTATAGCGCTTCTAATAAATGTTTGTTTGTCAAGAGGTCATCAGAAGCAATTAAAGATGGCTCGTTAGCGTGTGTCGGGGTCGAATGGGCGGCCTGCACACGTGTGGCTGTGTGCGTGTCGGGGTGGGGGGTGGGGGGGCACTATCGGTCCGGGCGTTGAACGTCGTCGCATAAGCGTCTGTCTTTTTCCCCCCGGCAACTGATCATTATTACAATAATAAGCTAGTCTTGACGTAGTTCTACGTAATGAATTGTGCGCTGGTCTACGGAATCAAAAGTTGCCGTACGCTCAGCTCTACACACAGCAACACAACTTTTTCTTGGTAAACAATCGATATGACACAGGTTTATGTATTTGAACGAATCGGTCTTTTTTTTTACACAGCTCATAATATGCAGGTGCCAGGTGGTCTGCTAATCTTCAATTTTACCTTTTTCTACAACAAAGAAAGTGGGAAACATGGGGGTGGGGGGGGGGCGTATCAATGAGGCGGCGGGCATCGGATCGGCAGAAAAGGTGGGGGGGAAACTAAAAAATGGCGGAAAATTGGAAGCACTGAACGTTAGATCTATAGAACGAAGACACTTCCTTTTTTCCGGACCTGAGTCCGAATAACATTTTTTCATATTCGGACTCGAGTCCGAATAAGAATTTTTTTTATTCGGACTCGAGTCCGAATATGAAAAAACCGAATATATAACGACGGCCTTTCCAATTACTATTCGCCGGTTTGGGTCCCAAGAGTGTTTCAGGGGGACAGGTAGAAATCTAATAAGAATGTGGAGGGAGGTTCAAAGGGGGGGGGGGGGGGGGCACTTTACCATAATTTGATGTTTTGCCGTTAGGTTTGATATCTCTCGCTCGCCGCGCATCAAACATAACTTCTGATCTAGATCTAGATCTCTAGGTCCAAATAAGCGGGGTGGGAACTATCGAAAAGACACCCAGTTTCTTTGTTCCACACGGACATTGTACTCGAACTAGGCTAAAACTTTTAGTAGAAGACCTGTGTAATAGTAAAACTGGTGCTGGTAGCGTGTAGACAAAAACAAATAAATAAACAGCACTGTCTATATGAAACAATGGTGTGTAGCCTTCAGCTGACTCCAACACGGACATTGTAGTCATTGTAGTAAAACTAGAAGACATTTGCAATAGTAAAACTGGTAGCGTGTAGATTAGACCAAAAAAAAATGTATTAAATAAACAGCACTGTCTAGATCTACTGTTCTAGAATAGTCTAGATGAAACAATGGAGTGTAGCCCTCAGTACCTACACACACACACACACACACAAATATTCTATTTCCACAATGCTGGGAACGAAGGCCAACACTCCTTGATAGGCTGTTGAGTTCCTTGGTCTTTTCTTGCATCTGAGCATGTGTGTGAGAGAGCAGCACAAGGTCATTGGCGAAGTCTAAGTCGTCCAGCTGCTGCCAAGGGATCCATTGTATTCCATTACGTTTGCCTCTGGTGGCTTCTTTCATGACCCAGTAGGGCTGTACCCCGGTAGCAAACACGCTCGTGCTCACAAGACCCTAGTTCAAGTCACAAGCCTCAAATCACTAGGTCAAATCATCAAATCAAATCACCAGCATGATACGTTGAGTCTAGCCTAAGCTTCAAGTACCCACACCAAATTGCAATCCGCGAAGCCACTCATGTCTGACCCCCTCTTCCTTCCCCTCCCTGCTTGCAATCCGCGAAACCCTTAACGTCAGAAAGAGAGAGAGGGGGAGAGAGAGAGACCCTGCGCACAGTGTCACTGCGCCACAAACTAGTTTGTTCGATTATTCGAAGGCATACGAGCAGCGGACGGCAGGCAAGACTGAAATCGCAGCAGAGCAAAGCACTTGGTCCCAAGACCTGCTTTGCGTCTCGTATTGCTTTGTGCTAGAAGGGCTTGCTCGTCAGCACAACACCACTCGTCAGGCAAACACCGCTCGTCTGCACCGAGGCGCAAGATCTACCGGTAATCCACCCCGCTCGCGGCGTGAACTCTGAACTCTGGACGTGGAGGAAGCGAGAGGCAGCGCTGGTTTTGGTGCAAGGCGAAGAGGGTTGTAATTAGCCTAGTGCAGACCGTTCGCGACCTCTGTGCTTTAACAGTGAAAATGTGACATCTTCGTAGGCTCACATTTTGTTATGAGCTACTTTCACTGGTATTGTTGTTGTTGTTGTTGTTATCGATCCAGCAACAGCTGGGCTCTCGCCCTTCTGTCCAATGCCATGTAGTGATAAGTGCAGGTCTGCTGCAGTTGCTGTAATGTTCCATAGAGTGTGTTGTCAATGTTAGGTCTCGGAGGGAGAAGGGTAGCTCTGATGTCATTTAGGGCTGTACAGTGGAACAGGTGATGATCCACAGTCTCATATGCATAGTCACACAAGGGACACATTGGGGGAAGTTCCGGGTTTATTCTGTTCAGGTGGAAGTTGAGCTGTAGGCGGAAGATCGTGGTCTGTTTCTTTCTCTGAAGGCGGTTGATATTGTCATTCCTTTTTGTTGTGGTCATATGTTTGAAAACTGCTCTGCCTGTCTTTCCCAGGGCCCATCTGTTCATCCAATCTTGTTTGTTGTTGCTTTTGATGATTTGTTTTGCAGTGTTGTATGAAGTTGGAATGTTGGGTTGTTCACTGTCTAGATCCCCGTTTGGCGAGTGTGTCTGCTCTGTCATTTCCAGGTATGTCTGAGTGTCCGGGGACCCACTGCATTACTAGGTTGATGCCACAGAATGTTATCAGATGATGGGATCCAAACAGTATATGGGTCAAATCTTGGTTTAGGTGATGGTCATTTTCTATGGCTTGTAATACTGATAGTGAGTCAGAGAAAATGACAATACTCTGTGCTTTTCCAGGATGAGTGTCAAAAACTGTGCGGAGATGGTACAGTGCTGTTTCAATTGCCATCATTTCTGCATCGTAGTTGCTGCATTTCTCTCCACAGGCTGCAGAGATCTCATTGGAACTTCCATCTGGGTACTGTATTAGTATTCCATATCCGGCTTTGGTTGTGGCTTTGAATGCTGAGCCGTCCGTATAGACGTGTATCCAGTCATCTGAATAGCTGTCGATTGTTTGATGTGATGCAAGCATCAGCGTCACTGGGTCTGAAGATTTTGTGCTCTTGTCTTTGAGAGATGTTGTAATGATTGGCTTTTTTAAAGAAAGGTGGGGAGGGATGTTTTGGTTGACTCTTTTGGTTTCTTTTCTATTTTGTGGTAGATGGTGGCTCTCCTTTAGTTCTGTGATGTGATGCATGATTGACTTTTGTTGAATTCGTTTCTTTGGTTTCCATGTTTCTACTAATTTCCTGTTTGGGTGGTTGGGGCACATTCTTTTAGTTCTTTCATGTAGCTCCAAAACTGCTTTATCTCTGCGGATTCCCAGGGGTTCAACATTTGCAAGGATTTCGCACGCGGCGGTAGGTGTGGATCTCATGCCGCCATTTAATCTTTGATCTATTCATAATACGTTAGGAACACATGACCATGACATATGAATAAGATAAGTTAGATCTCACCATCTCTCATTAGATCTAGGCCAGATCTAGTTGAAAAGTCATAACGAGTAGGCTTAGTTACACACATTCCGGGGTTCGAAAGGAAATAGTAGGCCTATAGATCTAGATCTTCTAAGGTCAATTTCCGAATGTTTTGTACTCAAATTCTTCTTTTTACCTACACTA